CCTGCATCTCTGTGGTAACCGGGTTGATAAGACACTCCTGAGAATCGGTCATCCTGCGGTGTCTTTAAGCTTGCTGTGTGATCCGTATCCTTGATGCCCTCAGGTACTGCCGAGTACAGTTCAAACACCTCGGACGGGGGGTCCTTTTAAGACTTGCTACCGTTGCATCGATACAACGTGGCATATAATAAACTGTCAAAAAAGAAACGCAACCCCTGTATTTTAGAGATTTTGATCTGAAGTTTGAGGACGACACGGCATTTTTATTATTTAAGACAGAAGTCTGAAATTTGGCAGAATAATAACCCAGATGGGCATGTTTAAAATTGTCATTTCAAAAGTCATCTCACAGACACCAGTTTGTCACCAGGGGGGGGCGTCTTTCTCAGTATCTCGTATGAGCACCACGCGCTGCAATCACTGCACGGCATCTCCTTGGACAAGAACGGATAAGACGCCGGATTCTTTCCTGGGGAATGGCTCTCCACTCCTCCTGCAGTGCAACGGCGAGCTGTTGCAGCGTCTGTGGCGGCGGCTGACGTTGACGTACGCGTCGATCCAGAGTATCCCACAGGTGTTCAATAGGGTTGAGGTCTGGTGATTTAGAGGGTCATGGCAAGACATTGACGTTGGAATTCTGCAGAAAGTTCATTGTTGCACGTGCAGTATGAGGCCGGGCGTTGTCCCGTTGAAAAATCTGTGTCTGTTGGTCAATAATCGGGAGAAGGTGAAGCTCTAACACGTGGTTGATGTAACGTTGGGCTGTCAGGTTCTGGTTTCTGGTTGTATGAGATGGTTCCCCAAACCATGACGCTTTCTCCGCCAAATCTGTCCACCTGTCGGACGCAGATGGGCGCAAAACGTTTATGACGTCTCCTATACAGACGCTGTCTTCCGTCGTGACGTTGCAAAAGAAAACGTGATTCATCAGAAAACCAGATTCGCCTCCAGTTTTGTAAAGTCCGTATCCTTACGTTGTTGCACCACCTGAGTCGTCGGCGTCGATGTAGGGGGCGTAGTACAGGTCCAACAACTGGTCTACAGGCACGTAAACCCGCTTCTTTCAGACGGTTCCTAATCGTTTGAGCTGACACTCCCCTCAAACCTGGTATTTGTGTGGCAGTCACGGTTGGTAGGGCATGCCGATTACGCAGGTGATGGACCCGGATGTACCGATCTTGAAGGGGGGTCGTGCTTCTTGGCCTTCCACTTCTCGGGCGATCGTTGGTCAAATTGAAGTTGTTGTAGCGGCTCCAAAGTCGGGATATCGTTGTTTTGTGAACATTTAGGTGCCGTGCAACAGTTCCAAAACTTTCTCCGGCTTGAACACGACCAATGGCGATATTTCGGTCGGCAGCACTCAATCGTGGCATTTTAACACAGCTTTTCGGCGACAAATGAATGAATATAATACGGAAGCACATGGGCTTTTATACACCCCTACATTAACTGCCATTTTCATGATTTGCATGTGTTTTTTTTGTGCGAAGTCACCATGAGGGTCATTTCATGCGTTGTGACGGAATAAGCAATAAAATACACTTATGCGTACAAATGCAGTTGTTTGGATGGTAATCTTCATTAATTACGTGTATCATTTCAATACATTCGAATAAAATTTAGTTTGGAAGCAATAACTTCATTCAAACGAATTTTTCATATCTGAGGACAGGGGTTGCGTTTCTTTTTTGACAGAGTTTAGATCTGCAATATAAGCAGTTAAACTATAAAGCGTAATAAGCGGGCGTATAATTGAAGAACAGTATTGCCCACCTACCATTACGTGAGTAAGTGAAAGAAACATACCAAAACATAGATGATAGTATGTTGTAAGTATAATAGGATTTAATATATATACAGAAATATCGGTAATGTATTATAAAGGAAATTACCGAATATACAAACAATGAATTACGGAACGTAACACGAGGTCGCGTCCATGTTAAATGAATTCACAAAGGCAATACTCACAATACGCACGATATTCACGTGAGTGGTGTTACTATCATGCACAACATATTAATACACAATTAAAAGATAAACGGAAAGACGTGAAGTCACAAACTGTTTCTTTAACATCTAGTTCAAAGAAACGACCAAAAAAGACCACGTATTAGTGTAAAAGTCTAACTTTATTCCCTTAATATAACGCACGGCCTGTCATGCTGGTGACAATAAGTATTGTGAAGATACGTGACGTCAGCACTTCCTGGTCACGTGGGCGCAGTGCGATGGCAATGGCGGCTCGCTCAGTTGGAACAACATCGCTTCAGCGTTTCCTTCGAACAGCTTCGTCTTCTTGTCTAAGAACGCAGTAAATGCATTAAGGAGTAATGTTTGAAAAGGTAAAAATCTCAATAATGGTAAAGAAATACGTTTTGAAAGTAGATGCAGCAAAATTAAGAAATTACTTCAGATGTTGGGACTAGAAATAATGTCATTTTTCCCAGTTTGGGATAAATTGATCTTTAAGAATATGTTTAACTTTTGAGACCAGCCGCTGGGTTGTACAAATTGAGGGATTTTCAAAAAAACGCACGAGAGTCCAGTAGCAGTGTGCGAAACAGCCATTGGCCCGCAAGCCAGTGACTAGTAAAAATCCAGTCGGGCCAGTAAATCTCCACAGTCACTAGCCCGACAAGCCAGTGAATTTTCATGGGGTCATTTTGTAAATATACATTTGTTTTTGATGGTATTTTACCTTTTTCTAATCTTTGGCTTAGTTTCCACATGCAAATTTGGGGCTAGTGAATTATTTTGTGGGCTAGTACATTTCAGGCATGGCTAGCCCGACTGGCTATCACAATTTGGAAACTATTTCTCACACTAGTCCAATATTATTGTCTAATACATTTTTAACTTGCGAGAGCCAGGGATTATCTTTATAACTATATTGTTCTTTTTAGTGATAAGTAATTGTAAATTAAGTTGGAAAGCTTAAAACAAACTCTTGGTAAGGTAACTGGTGCCAAAATTTTATAAAATATGAAGATCTTGCCAGTTCTCCATACAGCATAAAACGAGGGGTTGATCAATTTGTTTTTGAAAATTTTCTCCAAAATTTCAAGGTTTTCGAAACACCAGACTTCAGCACCAAAGGTCAAGATAAGTATTACCATTAAATCAAATGCTAACAATAAACTGTCTAAAGGATAGTCCAACTTTCTACCTTTTTTCACTTAACTATACATAATGATTGCTTTTGGAGCACTATTGCTTACAAATGTAATGCTTGATGCGAGTTTTTTTATTTCTATGGAGCGTTATACCTCCTTTGTCAAGTAAATTACCATCCAAATGAAATTTAACTTTGTGCTTTTTAATGGTCCTCCCCTAAATATTACTATTGTAGGTTTGTTTATATTCACTTTTAACGTAGTCACAATAGTCCTTAAATGAGCCCAACGCGTCTTGTAATCCCCTTGCCGATTCATGAAATAATACTGCATCATCTGCATATGATGAAACTAACAACTTTATGAATATCACCAAATCTTCGTCTTCAATATTGATATTTACACCATTACAGACTGAAGTAAGTAACTGAGATTCAGTCTCATTTATGAAAATGGAAAATGATAATGGTGACAGATTATCTCCCTGTCTGACGCCATTGTTACATGGAAATCAGTTTGATACATCATTATTACAATGTACAAGTGATTTGCATCGGAGAAATCTGAAAGGCGGTGGTTTAATATTTGAGTTATAATTGTGTTGGTGGGGCAAACCCTTCGAGTGCCAATGGTTTATGTACATATAAGGAATATATTTGTACGGGATAATTTGATATTACAACTTTACCGAAAAAAGGTATTTGTTTGTTGTTCAGCGCACTACGCCAGTATCTGGGACACGGGGCGATGGGGTAGCCTAATGGTTAAAGCGTTGGCTCGTCACGCCGAAGTCCCGGGTCCGAATCCCCATTCGAAGCCCATTTCTGGTGTCCCCCGCCGTGATGTTGCTGGAATATTGCTAAAAGCGGCGTAAAACCAAACTCAGTCAGTCAGTCAGTATCTGGGACACACACAATTCCAGTCTCATCTCGTAACAAGATGTCTTCCTCAAACACATATTTTCTTAAAGTAAGCAGGTACAATACTGGTCTAGTTTAATACATTTACTGATTTTGTTTACACTATGTACTTTTGCCACAGTTGTATCTCCTGGCACCAAAACTCTTTATATGAATAGACTATCATAAATGGGTTTTTTATGACTCTGGTAATGATGAAGCTATATCTATAGCTATGTCTCGACCAAACAAAATACTGGTTGAAAGCAAAACTAAATATCCAAGTCACTTGGGCGTGAAAGTACTTACTCAGCCATGTGATAGACATGTCTTAATTTACATCAAATAATGAATCGTGTTACATTTCCAGAGATACTAATTTGATAATACGTGAAGCGTGATATAATGTCACTGGAAAATTTACAAAATGCAATATTGTTTAAATCATCAAAACTTAGCCAATACAATGCCAAAATGTAACAATACAAATACGTGGGAACCAGGCGATCGATATATGTACGTACTGTCAACCACCATAAATGGGCCAATAAAGATTATGTGTACTACTAGGTGTATTAACAGCCTTCCATTGTGAAGAGACCGCCTCCGTGGTGTAGTGGTTAGAGCGTCCGCCCGGAGAGCGGAAGGTCGCGGGTTCAATCCCCGACCGCGTCATACCAAAAGACGTTAAAATATGGTGCTTGTTGGTCCCTGCCTGGCGCTCGGCATGAATAGGTACAACAAGGACTGGTCGGCTCGGAGTCAGTATAATGTGTCTGAGTGGGGTATTCATGTTCACTGCGGCATGGTATCTCAGTGGGCTAGCACTATAAAACCAGCATCAGTCTGGGCTAGTACAAGCAGCCGCACATACACATACACACGCATGCACGTCGTCATATGAGCGAAATATTCTCAAGCACGACGTTAAACCCAATTTCACCTCACCTCACCTCACCTCCATTGTGAAGACATGTCACGAAAAATGTGGAAACAGAGAGAACGGAAGTGTGCTGTAGGATCGTGATGAATTTCTTACAAATTGCCAGAAGTGTTGCTTTGAAGTAACAGTGTTCTAGGTTCAGATATGAGAGTTGATATCAGAGCCTAGTCCCATTGGGTTAGGACACTTAAAAACATGGCGACTTTCTCTTGAAATAGAAGTTGGCCAAGAAAGTTTGGAACTAGTATAAAATCCAGATCCGGTGGGTGGTGAAAACGAGTGAGTATGGTTTTACGCCGCCTTTAGCAATATTCCAACAATATCACGTCGGGGGACACCAGACATGGGCTTCACACATTGTACCCATTGTGGGGAATGTGTGTAACCACAGAATACAAAATATGAAATAGTTTGTTCACCAAATATTTACCTTATTCTCAAATTCTCAGTCCCTATACATTATTAACATTACATTACATAACATCACATGATTACCAACAATCAAATCTTCAGCACCCCATGAGTGTCGTAAGAGGCATGCTTGCTGCTATGTCAGTCAATGTTGTGTAAGTTGATTTTATATCAGAACTGAAAAAAAATTATATTTAAGAAACTAGTAAAAGAGCAAAAATAATTTCTCATGCAAGTTAGTAACGAAAATTTTACCTTCTTTAGTATTTACGAATGACAATAGTATAATCATTTCAAGTAATCAACACATACACTACTACCGGAATAAACTAACAGTGTATTATTTGATGTTATGCTATGTTTGATGCCAAAAGATAATAACATAATTTGTGGTGTTTTCCTTAATCACTGTTTAACTGTTGACAGGATGCTATCTGTATGATTTGACACTCGGCATCGTGACAGGGCCCTGGCTATTGTTAAGATACCCAAGACACTGACATAAAAATAGACCAATCCAAATACCCTTTAACTCAAAATGAACCAGCCCTGTGACACTGAAATGAACGGTTAAGGCAAAGACAAGATGCAGCTGAACTGACAACTAGTTGAAAGTTAAATATTACAAAGAAGTCGTCGTCTGCCGTATCACTAAAACCCTCAAATAAGATTAAAATGACTGATTTATGTACATAATTTACAATCCCTGTATTCATTCCTGTTACATATACATGATGCCATATATGGTATCAAGGCAGTATATTGCATACAGCGGTTTCAGGTCATTGAATTTGCATGTAACTAACATACTCTGTATCCAAGTAACTAAGACCAGATCCATCAAAATACAGACTTTCCTCAACAAGTGTCTCCGACAGATCCCTCGCATCAAGTGGTTCGATAAAGTCTCCAACCTTGACTTGTGGGAAGCAGCGAATGAAGACCAAGTCTCTGCTCAGATCAAGCGACAAAAGTGGCGTTGGATTGGACATACGCTAAGAAAACACAATACAAACATCACCAGACAAGCGCTTGACTGGAACCCACATGGCAAGAGGAAAAGAGGACGTCCAAAACAGACCTGGAGACGAAGCCTGGAAAAGGAACTGAGGGAAACCGGTTTAACCTGGGAGGCTACCAAGAGCATAGCCTCTGACCGGCAAGCGTTTGAGGACAACTGTTGAGGCCCTATGATCCTCAAGGAGTAAAGAGGACTAAGTCAAGTAAGTCAACATACTCTGGCTGCACTTGATTTGCACACCGGCTGATGAGCCGCCGAGCCGGGGTCAGGCGATTGCCCGGATGTTCACCGGCCAAGGCACTTGTTTTGGACCGGCTGAAGAGCACGGACTGCACGGGTGTCAGCCGAATGAGCCGGCTTCAGTTGTGCGGCTGCAGACAGCTAAACATGGCGGCACGTGGTAAGTATCGTGACTTGTGTTGTCGTGCAATTCCAATTTTCAAACATTACTTGATATGAAACATGTCTGAAAACATTGAAAAGTTGAAATTGAAATGTTTTTTTCCATATTGCAGTTAATGAATGATGACAGAGATTATCAAGGCGAGACAGGTGGATCCCGACAACTGGATGTGTTACATATGTATGAAAGAGGCGTCATTGCAGTCATTGCTGTCATTGCAAACACAAGAAAACTCCGGAAATTCCATACTATTTATTGATCAAAACTTCAGGTATGTCTTTAATGGATCAAACTATATCTATACGTAATATGAAAGGCATAATAGTACTTTGGTTATGGAAAATAGGGTAAAAGAGTCACTTTGTCCAATTACTTTAACGCAACATAGAAAATAAACCCCTTATTAAAATCCGATATTTTTCATATATGTTTTGAAAGAAAAACTGGCCGCATGAAAGGTTTAAAACTATGCTCAAAGCATAACAAATGCATTGATATGTACTGTGTACTTTGTAACCACTGAATGGAATCACACGACAATTTTGAAGGCATATAATAAATTGGGACATATAAGAATTGGTTTACGAAAACAACTTAATGTTAATTTAGTTACCTAATGACACGTATCTGCAAATGGTTGGTAAAATATGCTGCCGAGTATATTGTCACGTCAATTTGATTCAACCAATGATGTTCATATCTGTTTCTAACTCTTTCATAATTTTAATTTCCTTCATCTAACATTTGCTGGTCCTGTCTTTTCTGAATATACCTGAGGTGCGAACAGTGTAAAAGGGTTTGGCACGCAGATTGTGACAATCCAGAGCTAGAACTCTATATTACAGGGGAACTAACAACAGTTACATGCACAGCTTATATACCATAGTATATGTTTTGCTACATTGTAAATATTTTGTAAGAAAAATATGATCATGATTACTCGCTCTCAACATGGAATAGATAGGTAACAATTTTCAATTAGATAGTAGCATACTCTAATGCTTCAAAGAGCCCAGAGTCTCTATAAATCAGGGACAACAGTCACTAGAACTAATTTCGCTAAGACATTGAGGTAATGATGCATCTGTGTTAGGGAAACTGTAATATTTTTTTTATTGAGGCTAAGAAATCTTTATTTTATCCTTTTAGCTTAAACATGTCTCACACAGTGAATCTCACAGTGGAACAGAATGGTGACATGCACAACCTCGAAGTGAACGAGGACGTGGCGAAACTGTTGGTGTCTGCAGATACAGGTAAGCATGGCAAGCCTTGTCGAATAGTAAACCGTTTAAATTGTATGGGCTGTGTGTAAGTGCAACTGATGAATCATCTGTCATATTTTCTGAAAATGACTTAAAACGTCAAAAAAAACTTTCAGATTTTATCTTAATGTCTGCAGTAATAAATGCATTAAAGTATATTTTCAGGAATTGTCGATGCTTTGCAGTCAATCTTTATCTCCAGACATAATTTGAATTAATTTCATATTTACTGACATCATTTAGTTCGGTTTGTGAACGGATCCTTTAAATCATTTCAGATGCAGAGGTTAAACAGATCATCATAGATCAGCTATGCCGGTCACAATGTGACAAGACAAACCAGACTAATACAGAGGCAGTGGCAAAATGTTCTGTGGATAATCCAGGTAAATATATTCAAGTACTCTGCAGGGTTATGCAATAATTCCTGTCCAGTATTTTAGGTTAGTGTTGTTGACTAAAGAGTGAATATGAAAAAACTTTGTCTGTGTTGTGTAGTAGCATGATTGATTTATCAATTTTATTGAGTAGTTTTGAATAACTAGACTTTATAATTGAACTGTACTCGGTAAACCTGTTATACCTTTTCCAGAAGTTGGTGATATCATGTGGACAAAACCAGCAGAGAAACTGATCCTTGATGAACACAAAAAAATGGAGGAGGAAAAGAAACCGTCGAAAAATAAGTGGAAAAGAATGTCTCAGATAATGTGTGATAACAAGTATAACTTCACTGCTGAACAATGTCGCCTGAAGATAAAGAGTCTGAAAGACAGGTATGCTAAGCAGAAAAAAAAATAATACATCTGGCGAATCCCCATCGGAAACAGATCCTCAGCTAGAAGATTGTTTTGAGTCTCAGCCAGACTGCAAACCGGTAGCTACGATTGACACCTACAAGTACTGACGATGAAGCTGAGAAAGCTGAATCCAAGAAGGATGAGGCAGGTAAATGAAAGTATGACTGCTATTTGCAAGAATTAGTCCTTGCTGAACTATTGCAGATGTCTGAATTGTGGTACAACCTTTTGAGAATTTATGGTCAGTTATATTGATCAGGAGTTCGGAGTCATTTAGTTAGCACGGCATCTCTTGAAGTATGAGACGCAGTGTTCAAATTTGATGCCCTGAATATGGTATTGTCGGTTTTCATTGTTTCGTACAAGCAGATACTTAAGATGATTTTTGTAACCTTGATTTCATGTAATGCCCCACAACAGCTAGATCTATGAGATATACCCTTTTCAGATTCTGTTGGTGGTGGGGTTCATAGCCATGTTTCTCACAAACACTTGTGATTTATTTCATTCCAGATGAGCCTAAACCAAAGAAACGACGACCAAGTGTGGGTGACAGCTTGAAGGATTTCCTAAAGAGTGAAAGTGAGAGAAGAGAAGCGGCTGCTGAGCAGAGACATAGAGAGAGAATGAGCACGGCAAATGAGATGATAGATGTACTAAAACTGCTTGCTACAAGCGCTTCAAAGTAAAATGATATAAGCCCTGATAAACAGACAGTTCCTTTGACAAGAAAATCAACCCGATTTGCAAAGAATCTTTTTGAAGAAAAGCATCTGAAATGCTTCAATAGTATATGTTCATGAATTATGTATACCCATCAGAAATTTTCATTTCATAATTTTTAATTGGTCACAGAAAAATGTATTTAATGAAGAAAGTATCTTCATTGCACTTGTACCCGAGAAGATCCGGGGTAGAATAGGTCTTCAGCAACCCATGACTATGCTTGTAAGAGGCGGGGACCGGGTGGTCAGGCTCGGTGACTTGGTTGGCACGTCATCGGTTCCCAACTGCGCAGTACGATGCTCATGCTGTTGATCACTGGGTTGTCTGGTCCAGACTCAATTGTTTACAGACCGCTGGAATATTGCTGAGTGGGGCGTAAAACTAAACTCACTCACTCACTCTATTGGAATTCACACATTGAAAAAGTATGCATAGGGGGGTTCAGTATTTCAATGAGCAGCATTCACTTGAGTTTCATTTCATGACCATTGCATACTATGTCAACACATGACATTACCGTGATTGCTTTGCCTCCCCATCGCAATGTCGCCATTGTGGTAATATACTACCCATCAAAACTTTGGACTCACTAGTGGAAATGTAGCCACTTACTTCAGTCAACTGGTCTAAACTAGATTTCACCAAATATTCCATTCTGTTTACACATGAATGGATGTATGGTAAAACAAATGCGTAACGTTGAAATGATTGTCATGAGTTCTGTAAATGATAAAAGTCAGTGAAAAATGGCAAATGCTTAACCAAACTTTACACCAAAACGCAACTGTTCACATGCACAATATTTCCAGATGCTTTTTAGCAATTTCATGCATGATCCTTGTGCAATTAATCTGCATAAAGTTTGCAGTTTGTGGAGAAATTCATTTTCGATTTCACCATATCTATATATAAACATATAGTGAGTGCTTTCAGTGAGGCTAAACTTTTGATGGGTAGTATACAACAATTTGGGGTTGACTTTCTTGTCAAGCACACATTCCTGTACTGATTGATCATCCATGCTGGTGTTCTTGATGTATTTCTAATGTAAGAAAGTCTACACAGTGTATATGTCATAGAAATACTTTCATCATTTCAGTTAATATTTGTGGGGGCTGAAGTATGGTGCCAAATGTATTTTTGGTGCTAATGTTTATCACTGTGTGCATTTATGATGGTAGATCTTAATGATGTTAATTTTCCTAAAACATACATTTTGAAATCACTGAGTTAAGTGTGTGAAGTGTTTGAAACTCAGATATTGAGTTTTTTATTTGTAATGGTAACTCATACCAATATGCTCTTTTCGTATAACCATGTCTTACTTCAGCTATTAGCTGCTTTTCAATTTCCGTTTCAACTGCACTTCAGCAATAATGTCATGGGAATTCTGTGCAGCTTTCCTATCTGTATAACCTAATGCGCTTGTGGACATTACTTATATCTCTTTGAGTTGTATCATTGTAAGAAAGGAAGATTCTTTATGAATAACAACTTACAATCTTACTTTCTGATTAGTCACCAACTTCTAAAATGCCAATGAAACAGATTGTATCATTTTGGCTTAGTATTTGACTGATTAATGTTTGAATTATTGGATAAAACCAAAGTGTTTAAGTTGATTGTGTAAATCACGTTGGTGGTTGTTTTTCATTTTTTGTCTCAGTACAGACATTACGATTTGTAATTCCTATAATTTCATCAGGACTTGTACGGGTAATCTTTTTCATAAACATTCAATTGTGCCAGTGTTAAAGATGAATATTTTCCTTGAAAACTCATAAGGAGGAATCTTGTGGAATTTATTTCTGTGTATGTCAGTCAGGTTTTCCCTTGGCATTCTCATTGCAATGCAGTTTTATTTGTTCTATTTCTTATCATTGTAATGAGGCGGGATATAGTGGACGCCTTGTCCATCCGTAATCATTTTGTTTTGGGAGCACAACTCGTAAACTTTTCAATATGTTTCAACAAAAATTGGTACATATATCAAACAGGACCTAAAGTGGTGCCTTTTGCTATTTGCAGATTTTTGTGATTTTTATTTTACTTGGTTTCCATGGAAACGTTTCTGACTTAGTCTCAAAAGGGAGGGGTGAGCTTCATTGTTGGAAGACAACTCCAAAACCGTTCAGTCTTTCAACAATAATTGGCAGATATAGGAAACAGATCTTGCAGTAGTGCCTTTTGCAGATATTGGGCATTTAAATTTTTCATGATTTCCATGGAAATGCTTTGAATGAAAAAATAAAGTTGGACTGTAACTGTCAGATGATTTGTTGTTTCAAATTTGTGGGGCCCGGGGGGATGACTTGTTTTATTTTGAACACAGAGATTTATGTTTGTTACTACTTTTTTTGTTACTTTTGCAATAAAATTTAATACAATTATGGTGTTGATCGTACATTATCACTTTCAGGGAACACATCCGAAGGATGTAGGCTTGCTTGGGCAATAATGTTCTGATTACATCAAATTTGCAGCCCCATGTCATTTCTTAATCTCCTAAATATAAAACAAAAAACAGACATCACACATTTGTTATTAATACTGGTAAATGCCACAACTGTCGGAGATTGATATTACACAGATACTGTCATGATCCACTTTACTGCTACAGGTTATTAGTGATCATGACACGTTTCAGTTGCCCCTGAGCATCATTTTGCTGCAACGTGGGCAAAGGTCCTTGCAGTACCGGCTGTGGGTCATGATCAATGACATCCTAAAGCTGATCTTCACGCAGTACACATACATTGTGGAGGACACAACAGGCTGCAATTACTTTGCAGATTTCATGTACGTTGTGGATATGAACATGTCTCAGACGTCGGAATCGGTTCTTCAAGAGACCAAAGGCCCGTTCCACAACCTGTCGTTTGGATGACAGACACCTATTGAAGCGCAGCTGTCGTGGTGTCAACTGTCCATTGTCCCTGTATGGTGTGAGTATCCATTCTTTTATTGGATATGCAGCATCCCCAATAAGGTGGTAATGTCCATTGTTGGTTTTCTCATAGCCACTGTTCCATAAGGTTGAATTTCTTAGGACTTTTGCATCATGTACACGGCCAGGCCATCCAATATTGGAGTATGAGGGAATAGAATTTCTTTCTATTGTTAATATGCCTTTGGATTGTTGACTGCAGCTTCAATTTCAATATGACATCCATCAATCGCTCCAACGATATTTGGAAACCTGTAGTTCCCAAAGGTGTCAAAGTCTTGTGCGATTGTAGCGAGATCAGCACGTTCAGGCCATTTGATGAACTTTTGCAGAAGAACAGTGTTAATAGCACCAATGACATCACGGCGGCATTTCAGGGCACTATATTCTGTAACATCAAAGTCCTGACCCAGTTTGAACATTGTTTCCTGTGCTGCCAGATAGCGTAAGATCAGTAGAACCTTCTTCTCCAGTGGGACCTCTGGACGACCACCTGGAACCGTTCGTGTCGACAGTGAATGTGCGAGTGATTGACATAGCGCCTCCAATGTTCCTCTGCTCATTCGGAAATAGCGCTTGAAGGTGTCTGGTAGAAAGTTATGCACTGTATAGTCCACAAAGTCCTTGGTTTTTATGTGATCTTTCCAGAGGCTGGACATACAAAGAAAGGTGTCATAAGGATATAATGATAAATATGAAATTACATTCTATAACACTTCACCTACACTGCTGATACAGAAGGCCCTCGTGGTGTGCATGTGTTTTCAACATTTTTTATCACCTTCGTTCTAGCCAAACCCAGTCACCCATGACGATGTTAACACATAAGCCAGCCAGTTTCACTGTACATACTTTCAAAATTGTTAACATGAGCTGGACAGCTTTTACTTGCACTGGCTACTTACCAGGCGGTAGGTAATTAATGAGGGGTTTGCAATATACCACAACATAACCAAGTTTCAAGTATTTCAAGTTTTTCTTTCACATAACAAAAAGGTATATGCTGCCAGCATTGAACTGGATAATATATCTCCTTCCCGTCTTTTTTCTTCTCCTCCTTGGCAACTGGTGAGGCCTGAAGTTGACCTAACTCTGACAAAGTTTAAGAAGTCTGAAACTAATGAATTACAGTATCAACAAGAATATAATCAATTAACAATCAAATATGATACATATAAATCCCTATTTACAGATGGATCCAAGGACGGTGGCGCTGTAGCTTGTGCCACTGTCATTGGGTCCAAAACAATAACATCTCGATTGCCTGATAACAGCTCTATTTTCACGGCGGAAGCTAATGCCATATTAACAGCTTTAAAATATATTAACTCACACCGTAAATATAAACAATATATAATCTTTTCTGACTCTCTTTCTTGCCTTCAGGCGATTAAAAATCTTTCTTGCAAACATCCACTTTTATTAGAAATTCTTGAATTGTATAATGAGCTTGCTACTGGCCAATGCGACATCGTCTTTTGTTGGTTACCCAGCCACGTTGGCATTTCTGGGAACACAATGGCTGATCTTGCTGCTAAGGCAGCACTCAACAAATCTGTGACACCACTTCTTATTCAATACTCTGATTACAAAGCTGCTATAAGATCTTATATCCGTGATCTGATGCAAAAGAAGTGGGACACCCAAGTAGGTGTCAATAAATTACATGCAATAAAACCCTATATCGGTTACACTTACTTGGGTTGTCAGTCCAGATTTGAAGAGGTCATTATGCGACGATGTCGTATTGGCCACACTAGATATACACATGAGTACCTATTAAAAGGTGAGGATCCTCCGTTTTGTATCCCTTGTGATGAACGAATCACGGTCAAGCATGTCTTGCTTGACTGTGTTGAGTACTCCATCACAAGGGATATCTATTTCAAATCCCGAACTATGAAGGATCTTTTTACTAATATCAGTCCTCATTTAATTATTGCTTTTTGAAAAGAATTAAATTTGTTAACAGATTTGTAAATAGCTAAATATTTGGCACCCATGAAGGGCCACCTCCTCGTGGTGGGTGCTGGGTCACGCTAAGCGCCCTTCAACCCCGTTGTGGACCCGGGGGGATATATGGTCCACCAACCCGTTTGCCGTGGGTTGCGCCCCTGTGTTGGTGGAGGACGGGAGGCTGGTGGTTGAGGGCACAGGAACCAGGACCAGGTGTTCCTGTTGTCCAACACACCACTTTGCCCTTTACTTCACCTAGACGGGTGGTAGAATGGGCCCGGTTCTACCAATCGGCTGGTCATGCCAGGCCCTGTGCATAGTGAGTGTTATTGCACAAATTTGATATATTATTTGGTCTTGGCTTTTTGAAATTACAGTTAATCATGATATTGTATTGCCTAGAGTACTATGCCAGAAGGCGGTGGCTCATGGGCCAATCTGGTGATATGGACCTCTAAATTCTGAGTTTCTTAAGACTAATGTCATGGGCCGAACCAGCCTGACATTTGATCTTTTAGATTTCTTAGCTATTTATGTACTTATTTCTGGAGTATAACATCCCTGTAGCCCTGGTGTTGCAGTCTGGTTTCCACGGCAGCACCGTCCTTGTTGACACTCGATGGCGGGTGGGGAGCAGGGATGCTGAACTATATTCTTCTACCATGGCTACAAACACTCAATCTGGTTCGTCAAAGACACATAAGCGGAGACATCTTTCTTCTTCGTCTGATGAAGAGGTATCTTCTTTCGTGAATGATTCTTGGCCAAGGTTTTTGGTTATAGCATCTGATGATGGGAATCCATTAAATATTAATCCTTTTGCTGTCTCCAAGGGCATCCAAGGTGTCTGCGGAGAGGTGAAGAATGTTACCCGCCTCCGAAACGGTTCACTTTTGGTAGAATGTGTACGGAGGCAGCAATCTGTCAATCTGCTGGGATTACAGCAGTTTGTGCATAAACAGGTTGTTGTCTCAGTGCATAAGACATTGAACACTTGCAGAGGCATCATTAGAGACAGGTCCCGTTGTTTGTCAGACATGACAGAAGAGGAGATTGTTGCTGAATTGAGAGACCAGGGCGTGACTTCTGTTAAACGTTTTACGAGGAAACAGGATTCAAACGTAATAAAACACACACTTACCTTTTACATTTGGTATGACTGTGCTTCCCAAGTCTATTAAAGCTGGATATTGTAATATCGGAGTGGAGATATATGTACCAAATCCACTCCGGTGTTACAAATGCCAAAAGTTTGGCCATGGTGCAAGATCTTGTACCGGCAAATCCGTTTGTTCACGCTGCAGTGGAGCTCACGAGAGTACCGATTGCACTAATGACATCAAGTGCGCAAACTGTAGTGGTGGGCATCTGGCTTCATCAAAATCCTGCCCAAAGTTTGAATGCGAAACCAACATTCTCAAAATCAAATGCACTAATAACATCTCCTACTTTGAGGCCAAAAAAACTAGTTAATGCACAGTCAAAACATTCTACCGGTCTGACCTATTCTGAAACAGTTTCATCTTCTTCTCCATCATGTGTTAGGAAATCTACATCAGTTTCAACTTCCTGTCAAACTGTGTTATCCTGGGTCACTGAAACTCAAATCCACTTGAATGACAGTAATCCCATAACACCAGACTTTCAACGTTCTTCAGCCTCGCAGACTGAGGAAACACAACCAGAAGATATACTTACAACTCAGACAACACAGAGTGTTGCCAACCTTTCCAGTAAAGAAAAGAAAAAACTGAGGAAAAAGACTAAAGCACTTCAACTCTTAGAAGAGTCTACTAGTTTGACGCCTGTGACGGTTCAAAATCCATTTGAGCCACTGGACATGGAGATCACTCCTTCACGCACAGGGGGGTGGGAGTGACGCTTCCACGCACTCACGATCTCCAGTTAAACCTCCCTAAACATTTTAATGACCTTAATACAATGGAATTGCAGAGGCCTTAGGAACAATTTTAACGATCTGCAATTATTATCTCACGATTTTACACCTTCGGCTTTTAGTCTACAAGAGACATATCTGAAAAGTTCAGATAAATTTGAATTACGTCGGTACAATTCATATCATTCGTTTTCACCCCAAGGTAATAGAGCCACTGGTGGCGCTTCTATTTTGGTTAGGCAGGGTGTTATGCATAGCCCTGTCCCTCTTAAAAGCAATCTTCAGGCTGTTGCTGTCCGTCTAACTTTACAGGTAACCTTTACTCTTTGTTCTTTGTACATTTCTCCTTCTTCTGCTCTTCAGCAGTCTGATCTTCAGAATCTATTCGACCAGCTTCCCAAGCCCTGTATCATAATGGGTGATCTTAATGGCCATAACCCTTTGTGGGGAAGTGCCGATATTAACAGTAAAGGGAGAATCCTTGAAGACTTCATGTCTAATAATAATTTATGTCTTTTCAATGATGGATCAGCCACATATTTACACCCTGGTTCTGGAACTTATTCTGCACTTGATCTGTCCCTCACGGACCCATGTCCCTCACGGACCCAAATATTTATAATGAATTTGACTGGTCAGTACACGATGACCTGTGTGGAAGTGACCATTTCCCCACAATCCTTTCTGCTATAAACCCAAACGATGATCCACCAACAACAAGGTGGAATTTTAATAAGGCCAACTGGCCATTATTTCAGACACTGTGTGCTGACACATTACAGTCCGACCTTTTTTGTTAATGTTACAGATCCGATTCAGTTGTTCTCTGATAAACTGAAAAACATTGCCGATGAAACTATTCCTAAGGCTTCTGCTAAACCACATATTCGAAAACCATGGTTTACTGACGATTGTAAACAAGCTAGAAAGTGTAGGAAAAAGGCAGAGAAATACTTTCGCCGCCACCCTACAGTTCACAATTTAAATAATTTTAAAATAAACAATGCCAAGGCTCGACGTACATTTAAACAAAGTAAACGTCAGTCATGGAAGAACTTTGTATCAAAGATCAATTCCCGTACACCAATGACGAAGGTATGGAACATGGTACAGAGAATCAAGGGCAAAGGTAGAAATTCAAGTGTTCATCATCTCAAAGATGGCCACGATCTTTTAACTGATAAAATTGACATTGCAAACAAGTTGGGTGCAACTTTAGCGAGACATTCTTCTTCATCCAACTACAATCCAAAGTTTCAGAAATATAAAGATCATCAAGAAAAAAATTAAAATTAACTTTCATTCTGATAATGGTGAAGATTATAATGAAGTATTTTCACTACATGAGCTGAATACTGCCTTAACGCAAGCTCATGATACGGCAACAGGTGCTGATAATATCCACTATCAGCTCCTGAAACATTTACCTAATGCTTGTCTTGAAACACTTCTGAACATTTTTGATAATATTTGGATGACAGGGCATTTTCCTCCTTCGTGGCGTCATGCCATTGTTGTACCAATACCTAAGCCTGGCCGGGATCATACAGATCCATCCAACTACAGACCTATTTCATTAACTAGCTGCGTTTGCAAGACCATGGAACGCATGGTCAATAATAGATTAGTGTGGTTTCTAGAATCCAATAATCTAATTTCTAACATTCAATGTGGTTTTCGTAAAAATAGAAGCACTATTGACCATTTGGTTCGACTAGAATCATTTGTTAAAAATTCCATTGTAATAACCAGCATGCTGTATCAATCTTTTTCGACCTAGAGAAAGCTTATGATACAACATGGAAACATGGTATTTTAAGAGATTTACATGACTTTGGTTTGAGAGGCCGTTTGCCTCACTTTATATCACAGTTTTTAGCTGACAGGCAATTTCAAGTGCGTGTTGGATCAACCCTGTCTGACCATTATAATCAGGATCAGGGGTTCCACAAGGCAGTATTTTGTCCGTTACTTTGTTTAGCATAAAAATCAATAGTCTCTCAAAAGTATTAAATGACTCAATAGATGGGTCATTGTTTGTGGATGATTTTAACGTTTCATGTCGTGGTAAAAATATGCATACCATCGAGAGACAATTACAGATGTGTTTAAATAAAATTCATAAATGGTCACTTGAGAATGGCTTTAAATTTTCACAGATAAAGACCAAATGTATACATTTCTGTCGGAAATATAAGCCTCATAAAGATCCCGAACTGTACTTGGATGGCTCTCCAATTAACGTTGTAAAGGAAGCCAAGTTTTTGGGACTGATTTTTGACAAGCATTTGACCTTTTTACCACATATTAAGTCTTTGAAGACTAAATGCCTGAAGGCATTAGATCTATTAAAAGTCGTGTCCAATTCAAAGTGGGGGAGGGGATCAAACTACTCTCCTTCATTTGTACAGATCACTCATCCGGTCAAAACTTGATTATGGCTCCATTGTATATGGTGGAGCCTGTAAAAGCAATTTGAAACTACTGGATTCTGTCCATCACCAAGGTCTACGACTTTGTCTTGGATCTTTCCGAACTTCTCCTATTGATAGTATTTATGTTGAAGCTGACGAGCCTTCTCTCAACCAACGCCGTATCAAATTGTCTTTGCAGTATATTACTAAACTATCTTCTAATCAGTCGAACCCTGCATATAACTGTGTCTTCCATCCTCTCTATGAGGATCTGTACAACAAAAAGTCTTCTCTTGTTCCGCCTCTTGGGCACAGAATTAGACCATTCATTGCTGCTGCCGGCATTGAGCTGGAAAATATAGCTCCTTCCCGTTTGCTTTCTTCTCCTCCTTGGCAATTGGTGAGGCCAGATGTTGACTTAACATTAACCACATTTAAAAAATCCGAAACTAATGATTTACAGTATAAACAAGAATTTAGTCAATTAAGAAATAAATATAATACATATAAATCCTTATTTACAGATGGATCCAAGGATGGTGGCGCGGTGGCTTGTGCCACTGTCATTGGGTCCAAAACAATATCTTCTCGGCTACCAAATAATAGTTCTATTTTCACAGCAGAAGCTAACGCCATATTAACAGCTCTTAAATATATAAATAAACACCGTAAATATAAACAATACATCATCTTTTCAGATTCTCTTTCTTGCCTTCAGGCGATTAAAAACCTTTCTTGCAATCATCCACTTTTATTAGAAATTCTTGAATTGTATAATGAGCTTGCTACTGGCCAATGCGACATCGTCTTTTGTTGGTTACCCAGCCACGTTGGCATTTCTGGGAACACAATGGCTGATATTGCTGCTAAGGCAGCACTCAACAAATCTGTGACACCACTTCTTATTCCATACTCTGATTACAAAGCTAGCATTAGAACTTACATCCGTGATCTGATGCAGAAGAAGTGGGACACCCAAGCAGGTATTAATAAATTACATGCAATAAAACCAACTATCGGTTACACTTACTTGGGTTGTCAGTCCAGATTTGAAGAGGTCATCATACGACGATGTCGTATTGGCCACACAAGATATACGCATGAGTACCTATTAAAAGGTGAGGATCCTCCGTTTTGTATCCCTTGTGATGAACGAATCACGGTCAAGCATGTCTTGCTTGACTGTGTTGAGTATTCCATCACAAGGGATATCTATTTCAGATCACGAACGGTGAAGGATCTTTTTAATAATATCAGTTCTCATTTAGTTATTGCGTTTTTAAAAGAATTAGATTTGTTGAATGAATTGTAAATAGATAAATATTTTATAATTGGTAGTTTAATTCAGCAGCTGAGATTGTTAGTGGCTGTATCCTCACATTGGGGTTGAAGCACTGTAAAATTATTGTCCTCCTGTGGGGGGTACGTAAGTCCCAAAACATTCAAACTAAATTTAAATATACCATTATTTTAATCGTAGAATATGTGTTATTTTAACTTATGGCTAATTCGTCAAAACTTGCTGACGGCTGAAGGGATGGTGTAAATCCAGCTAGGGTCCATGCAGGAAGCAAATGTACTGTAAGTCCCCATGGTCCCTAGTATGGTGATCTACCTTCAGTTGTTAGCGATCTATAGCCCATTTTTATATTGTGTTGTCCCCCATAGTTAAAATGTTTTAGATTCAATTACTAGTTTTACATATATATCTGTGATAATCTAGTTATTTTACTGTCCTTCGTTGGCAGAATGTTATAATTTCACTTAAATTGTTGATATAAATATAACTTGCTTTAGTCACGATATGGCTGAAATATTGCCGATGTGACTAAAAATCTTAACTCACTCACTCACTAGTTGCTTTACTGTCCTTCGATGACAGGTTTTATAATATATACATATTCCATTACAATGTAAAGTGTTCTCGTCACGATATGGCTGAAATATTGCCGATGTGACGTTAAATATTAACTCTCTCACTCACTCAAAAAGGTATATTTAGGCCTCTCTATCCATGGTGTTGTGCAAACGCATCAGCCCACCAGCGAAATAAATCACCATTCCCTAATACATGCCTTAACTATTGCCACGAAAACTGGTATCTCGGTGGTCAATAAAACACACGCGACACGGATTTGTATCATTTCCTTGCATTCATTTCAGTTTGTTGATTGACGTTCAGAAACATCTTACACAGAATCAAGAATGCATGCATCTCTGTAAAGATCGTTCTCCTCATCATCGCTCTCTGCTTCTGTAAAAGCGGGATATGCAATAATGATTGCTGTCTCCACCATCTTGGTTTTCGCCCGGTGCGTTTGATTCCTTCAGTGAGCCGGGCAAGCCGGTCACGTGTTCGGGCATGCGGCTCAACACCGGCTACCAGCCGATTGAGGACAAATCAAGTGTACCCTCTGTCTCTTGTTGACATGCCCACGCTTTTCGCAAAACATCGGTGTCATCACTATTTTTCAAGGATCATTAGCAACTATTTTGCCCTATACTCAAACATTATCTCTTTCTGAGGATAGTTAAGACTTGGTATTCTTTCGTAATGAGATTCTATAGTGTCATCGATGTTATATCAGGGATGGTTGGGTAACATAAATATTGGCGCTGTGTCTCACCTGGGTATGGTGTCAAACGTTGAAAACGTCAAAACAACCAGCCAGACGGACAATCAAGCCATGGTATATGTAGAGTTGAGATATTATATAGTTCACTTCTTAATATGCAAGCTCCAGGTTCATGCATTGGTACAACTTGTTTCAAGCGTTAATGATTTTGCTCTCGATTTTTTGTAATATGGTCTGTGAACATTTGTAGCAAATGTAGTGCGAAATTCAGAGATCCTGAGTTACAATTGTATAGGTGGGTTTGAGATTGGAGTATCAGTTGTCTGTGGAAACATAAAAGAATTCTAATATTTGTAAGAAATAATTTGGAATTTGCCATTAGTTTGCCCTATACACCAACATAATCTCTTTCAGGGGATAGTTAAGACTTGGTATTCTTTTGTAATGAGGTTATATAGTGTTATCGTTGTTGTATTAGGGACAGGTACAAAGCAATATTTCTCAATATATCTCAACGTCATCGTCAACGTCAACCTGTGGAAAGAAGTGATCCAACATGGCGGCTCACATCACAAGGGATACAAAAGAAGTATCTTCACCTTTTAATAAGTACAACTGTATATCGCGTATGGCCAATGCGACATCGTCGCATAATGAGCTCTTCAAATCTGGACTGACAACCTAGTATAGGTGTAACCGATAGTTGGTTTTATTTGATGTAATTTATTGATACCTACTTGGGTGCGGATATCACGGATATACGATCTAATCAAAGCTTTGCAATATGGAATGATAAGTAGTGTCACAGATGTGTTCAGCCATTGTGTTCCCAGAAATACCAACGTGGCTGGGTAACCAACAAAAGTTCATTATATAATTCAATAATTTCAATTAAAAGTGGATGTTTACAATAAAGATTTTTAATAGCCTGAAGACATGAAAGAGAGTCAGAAAAGATTATATATTGTGTATGTTTACGGTGTTTTTGAATATATTTAAGAGCGGTTGATATGTGTTAATGTGTGTTAATGTGTTTTCATTGTTTTGATTAGACCTAGCCTATTTTCTTTTCAATGATCTACAAAGCCGTAACGTTTCAGGTTATATAATATATATATATATATATATATATATATATATATATATATATATTTTATTTTAATTATAATATATCATATTACAAACTGTCACATCAACATAGTACAATTATGGTTTGTAAAAGTGATGGTCTACGTGTTAAATACGAAGCTACAAAGATCACAACAACGAATACCCGTGACCACAGTAATATTAGATTTTCATTTTTCAATTTTCCCAGTAAATATTCGATATTAGATTAAAGCACACAATTACGCCGAAATGCCATGGAAGGTGATTTAGTATTTTGTCAAAATGGCGAGATTTCCGAAGTATGAGTGGATGATATACAAAACTGAATTTCAAAACTGCGAAGTGCATTTATATTGGTGATGTATTTGGATATGAAAGAGGAGGGACATATATTTTACGGTTTATGTAGAAAAGTAGCAAATTTAAACTTCTGGCACATTTCACCAATGACAAGGATAAACTTGTGCACGTACGATTATGATTTGTTGAAAGAAGATACTGTTTCAAAGAAGACAGACTCAAATAGAATGTTATACAATGTGGTATTTCATATTTAATAGTGTTGTAACACTGATCGATACACCATGAGATACTGTTTCAAAGAAGACAGACTCAAACCTGAATGTTATACAATATGGTATTGCAGAAATAATAATGTTTTATCACTGATCGGTACACCATGAGAGTTAAAACGGTAGGCTGCACATTGAGAAAAAATAACCATACACCTGTAGCTGCACCACGTGAATTGGATCTAATAAGATCTTATGATTCTTTCTCATTTAGCACAATGACAACATATTGCAAGGAGCATAAGCCATGGTGGTTTTTATGAGCATAGAACTCTTGGTAAATGTGCAGAATATAATTCGATATAATGCCAAAATGTATTATTTACTTGTGATATTTATACTGTTTTGGATATGAAACTACTTGAAAAACACTTTTTATGTTGAAAAAGTGCAAGACAAACACTTTCAATTCCGCGTAAATTTGCTCTTTAAACCATACACAATCGTCGCAGAATTAGACGTCAATACCCGCTAAGCAGGAAAGACATATTACACTATTTCTGTCCTGTTATGTTCATCGGTAGAGGTACAGAGGGATATTTCTGGTCCCATCTCAACTTCAACGTCAACGTCGGCTTGTGGAAAGAAGTGATCCAATATGGCGGCTGTCAAGCAATCCCCGATGATGTTTACGACTGTGCGCACCCGGCCCCTGTTGAGTATATGATGCATGAAATTAGGGTATGTAAATCTGTAGATGCTGTTGTTTGAGTTGTAAATGTGTTTCAGAAGAAGGCGTGAGGGTTCTTGACGATTCTTCCCTCACAGATTTGTGTTATTTTTCAGATAGTATGTACTTTACAGACTCCCGTCCTACAGATATTGCTAAGAGAAACGTGTCTTCACGATATTCTTTTCTCAGAGGAAAAGTGTCATTTACACACTGTCTATAATATAGCACGGGTTTTATTTACTTCTTAAACCCTCCCTTAAAATAGTTTACTTCGGAGAAAACCATCCCAGTTTAACGAGTCCAAAGAATTTCCGGAATTCATTCAAACAGTTTGCTAAATTTTCGGTGCGGTGTTCTTCCGCTAGAGACTGGACATGGTAGGACGCAAGATCTAAACACTCTGAATGATTATGTAAGGTATGTCAGTGTGGAGAAGTAGAGAAAAACCTGTACATTATTAGGACACAGAAGGCAGAAACACAGATCCGTAAATATACACAACGGCCGCCAAAGCAACAATTTGCAGTACTAATATCTAGTTTCAAGACTGATACAATACAAGATGTACTTATGTATATAAACCATGTCTGTCAATTTAGAAATCGGTGCTTACTTCGAAACTGATGCATGTACGAGTAGAATAGACCATGTTCACCCATGTGCAACAAAATTATATTATGGGTTTAGCTATGTTGTAATGGACCAGTGGCCTGTATATCAATTGAATAAAGTATCTCAGATGGGGATCCCTTCTTTAATATTTGTAATAGCTTTGAGTCGTTCGATACAATTATTTGGAAGTGAAGGAGTCGGCTATGTGATACTCACAGGAACCAGTCCACCACCATCAGGATAGAGACGCTCTCAATTGGCAGACCGGCAGCTGCCATGACGACCATTAATGCTGCTATAGCAGTGTTTGGGATTCCCGCAGCACCAACACTTGTCAACACTGCACATAGACTGAAACAAGGTGTGTTGATGAGGCATTTCTAGAGGCCGATTTCAATGTCCAAATGTATGCATGAACTATTCTTATACTTAGAGCAAATGAATGGAAGCTTGAGCAACTACGTAACAAAAAACGTATAGTTATGTTTTAACACCTCCTCAGGGGCAACACAACTGTTGTTTTTTCATTAATGCTGTGATCACATATTCTTGATGTATGACCGCCTGCAAATAATCTGTAACAGCCAAACCCGTGAATAACAAGAATGATTCCAAACTGTCATGTTACGTTGACACGTCATCAACCTCATCACCGAGCCTAACCACCGCAGGTCGCCTCTAACGAGCATACAGTGTATAGGTGGGAGTCCTATAAATATCCAAAACCTACGGGATAACTATGCCTATATGTTGAGGTATTCCTGGAAGTGCATTGCTCAGAGTACTCTCATTTTCACTGTAGACATAAGAAATATACAGAAATAAGGGTTGAACATTAACACTATAGACGTGCTAAATGCGGTAGGTTTTATATAAAAAATATTTTAAATTCATTTGGGTAAACATAACAAATTCAATGATGAACGTCAGTGCAATATCATTCAGGTTGTACAGGCCCTTTACGATACCTACAAATGTACACAGTCTGCAAGATTGATAATTATGAATGTTACATGAATCTAGGAATGTGCTCTGAAAGTTCAGTTTGAATCATTGAAATATCTTTGTGGTAGTACCTAGCGCTTTCATCAACACTCATCTTAACAACCAAATTCGAAAAATATGCTTAAGGGGTGAAAATTAACATTATAGGTTTACCAAATGCGGTAGGTTTCAAATAAAACATATTTTCAATTCATTTTGGGTAAACATCACTCTTTAAATGCTGAATATCAGTGTAGGTTGTATAGGATTTTTCCGATACCTTCAAATGTACTCAATACCTACAAATGATAGGAATAGTACATGAATCTAGGAATGTGCTTTGAAAGTTTGAATCTATGAAATATCTTTGTGGTAGTACCTAGCGCTTCATCAACAATCATCTTAACACTCGGATGACATAACAATTTGAAAAGAAATAGTTAAAAAATAAATCATCTTAACTAGTTAGCACTTGTATCCCGATCATTTTGTCGGCAAACTTGTATGTTTTTGGTGTGCACGTAAAAACGTTATTACTCCAAATCAAAGAAACAATAATACCTGTCGGTGTTTCCTTACCACCGTCAATAACCTGATATAACAACGATGAATCCCTTGTGCATCCCTTCCAATATAATTAAACTCAGGTCGTTAATTCAAATATAATACCGGTCTTCAAGATTTTATGACAATCCATATGGTATCCTAAAGGGACACTGTCGCGTCGTCGACAACACAAAAACAAGCAAAAAGTGTCAAATTACTCCAAGTGCGGCAACCCGACAATGTCCCTTCTTGTATTCTATATAACATTCCCTCAACAGAAGAGTTTGCATGAACCATGAGGGCACCTATACTGCCCCCTCTACACGATGGTCATGGTTTCATTTGTTTACCACCGTTAATACAGTTGCATCCCATTCTGGATGAAGATGCAAATGAGTTTAGAACCGAGATAACATTATTTTTTATTTACATTCGAAACTGGACGTTCGGTGTCGAAATGCAGACTCAGATATATATTGGATACATGCCTCGCTCAGTATTAATGCGGTTTTGGGACCAGATAAGAGATCCTCCACTTGTCAGATCTTCATGCAGTACGATGTGGTATCGGAGCAAACAATTTGATTTATGACACTAGTATTATTTGCAATACAGTATTTGAAATATGTGGGAACCTTAATTGAATATTTTGTTGAACAAAAAGGATAATTACTGCGCTATACAGAATACTATTGTGTTAGAAAGCTGAGATCATATGTTGGTCATTTGAAATAACTTCACAGGCCTTCTCAACTTTAGATGAAATTCGGAAACTAATCATTATTAATTGGTGTTGTGTGAGATTCAGAGAGTCACACCCTGTTTCATGCATTAGAGATTCACGGAGGTTTTAATGGCAACACAACATCCTACGTATCCCCGCTCTTCATTTTCATAGGAAGTACTTTTGGTGACAAAAGTCATATTGTGTAGAAGCTACTATAAACCACAAGTGTAAATTCATCAAAATCATCTATCACTGCTTTGTGTACCAATGTGAGAGAATAGGAGAAATACTGAAGACCTCAAGAAAGTGAAAATGACTTTACCAAAACGTTGAAAGAACATAAATCTATCTTCCCAGTTCCAAAGACAATTAGATGATGTGAATATTCAAAACTTTACATATGACAACATATACCAATGTCTTTAAATCATCTATGAAATAATTGTCATCGAGGGTCAAGCCATGTGGAGCACAGTTGTGTAGTGGTTAGCATGCTGGCCTCTCACGCCAAAGGTCCGGGTTCGAATCCCGGTGGAGACACCAAACATTTGTGACCTGGGTCTCATACTGTGCTGTGCCCCTGGGCAAGGTACTTAGTCCATATTGCACTCAGTCCATCCAGCTGTTTGAAATGGGTACCTGAGAAGCGGATGTACGGATCTATACGATCCCGCGAAGCGCTTTTGTAGCGGCTTTGAACGTACAATTCCGTCGGGGTAATAATGAAACGCCAGAGAACAGCATTGTGTTGGATTCTAGGCGCAAAAATTAGCATTATTATGTTTTACAGATTTAGATGAAAAATGCAACAGAGAGGGTTCGGGTGATCCTGGCACAGTCATGCTGGCAAGGCTCATCATCAGCTCAGGGCCCCCTACACAAAGCCCAGACAGCCCATGGGACTTCTCCCAGGAAACGCTGCCTAGCCGAACCCACCAAGAACTTTCCGCAGAATATGTAGACTCCCCAACACTGCAGCCTTCTGCATTATCCAGTGTCAGAAGGGCTGTACTCCCGGTGGAGAACCCGGGCACTCTCCTGATCTGCGCTATGAGATCAGGAGGTACCAAACCAAGGGCACCGAGAACGATGGGGAGCCTGACGACAGTGTACTTGGCATGCAAGCGAGACATTTCAAAGGCGAGATCCGTATGTTTAGCATGCGTTTCCTGAATCTTGCCAATCACGCTGCTGTCAAAACGGACAGAAAATTCAATGATATAAATTGGCTTTATCAAAAAGGACAAGGTCGGGTTTGTTGGCAGGAATTCTTCTGAGGCTGTATATGGGCCTATTCCAAAGAAGTTTGAAAGCATCATGTTCCATGACGCCCTGACAAGGTGTTGGACAGTCTCTGTAAATTCATTTCACAGTCGGCATTTCATGTTAATATTTTCTTTAAGAATCACATTTACGCGATTGCGAGTGGGAAGTGACTGGTCCTGAGCAGCAAAAAGGAAGCCCTCAGTTTCACTTTTTAAACCAGCCGACTTCATCCAGGCAAAGGAGTCGGTTGGATTGCTATTCTGTTCCACACACTGCATATATACACGATGCAGTGGTTTCTTAAAAAGCTTCTCCACACATGGCCGACTCTGGGCAGACTTGGTGAAGGACTTCAATCGCTATACCGTCCAGCAGTACATCGCCATCAACAAAATCAACCTCAAATTTCAGATTCTGTCCAACAACCATGGCACGCTTAAAATAGCTGTGGAATTCCTTGCTTTCATCATGAGTCTTGACACGCATCACCAGAGGATCATCCGACGAATAAATATGTGCAAAAGTACACAATAAAATTCTATCATGAAGAGCCTCCACATTAATCAAACCCCGACCTCCCGAACTGATTGAGCATTATTATTATTCTTCTTATTATTATTATTATTATAATATTTGTAAGTTTCCTAGTTTACCTCAGAAGAATCATCTCAAAGAAATTCAGGGATATCGCATGCATCTGGGCGACGTAGATTGCTGATACCACATAAAACTGTGCAGATCCGTCCATGTTCATCGTTGCCCCAAGTGGAAGTACGAAGCGAGTGATGGCATTGTTCATCTTCAGGTTGTCCTCGCAGCATTGGATAGTTACAGGCAGTGTGGCAGAACTATAAGACGAAATAATGTCCATGGGATGTACATACACGTAGATCTGTTCAAAGGTCAGTATCCGCTCTAAATTTCGTAGGAAATACCGCATATTTGTCTTAGTGAGTGAGTTGGGTTTTACATCGCTTTTAGCAATATTCCAGCAATATCACGGCGGGGGACACAAGAAATGGGCTTCACACATTGCACACACGTTGGGAATCGAACCCGGTCCTTCGGCGTGATGAGCGAATGCTTTAACCACTAGGCTACCCCACTAACCCATATATTTCTTAACTAGGAAACCAAAACGTTCATGCTACAGCAGTTAAAACCAGTGAAACGGCTCTCATCATAAGAATTTCACTTCTGAAAATATATAATCTTGCAGAAACAAGTAATTATAGTTTTATTAAAAAGGAGCACCGATGAATTTGAGAGAAAAATCTAGAATTACTTCATTTTTGCAAACTTTGCATTTGGTCGTGGTTTTCACAAGAACATACAGCGTATTTTCCTCCACTAAGCACTTCAAGGTACTTAAACATATCTGCATACATATATGCCTGAAAGAGAGCCATTTGCTACCCCAGATGATCATGGCACTACGAAACTGATAACGACTAGATCATTTCGCAATGTTTACTTGTAAAATTTGATTATTGTTTCTTGTTGATTTTTATGTACATGTATAACTTAATCCCTTACATGTGATAATGAGGTATCTGAAACAGTGCAACAGAGGGCAGAGAGGTAAATGTCTAAGGCACAGACAATGTAATATTCCTGAGGCATGCTACACCTGGAACACAAAGCATGTTTGGTGACATGTACAGAACTTTTCAAGAAATTATGTTTTCCAGCATTTTCTGGAACAGAATATTTAAAATACGGGACAGATGGTTTAAAGACAAATTATGTTTTCATCATTTTCGCATTTTTTTAAAAACAAACAAGTCAAAGCCCTAACCTAGCACATCAAATGGTCGTTACCTTAAAATGCTTTGTAAATGACAGAGTGTCTTAGTTATTAACCTGGATGCTACTGCAAGAGCCGTGACGATCGCCTGTGTCATTCCTCTGATGATTCTGAACGGGTTCTTCTTGGTTAAGGCAACATACAACAGAGGTAAGACTGCCAGACCATGGAGGCTGGCGCCAGCAATGATGGTGGTTAAATACATTGCGAGCTGTTGGGCCGTGCTTATCAGATCCTCCACAGATAACACCTTCCCTATTATCAGAAACATTATCCCCACTGGTGAATACCTGCAACATATATCGCAAGAGATAAATGTGTATTGAGTGAGTGAATTAAAATTTTAGTCACATCGGCAGTACTTTAGCAGGTCCATGACACATAAACTCAGAATATAGAGACATGTGGACGAAAGACAGCAAAAACAAATAGTGGATCACAGATATAGATGTAACACCAGCATGTAAATCTAAGATATTTACAAACATTATTCCATTTCTTTTAAAAAGTAAACATTTTAATGAAAATTTGCATTATTAATAAGAACCCTGACTGTTTTCACACTGAAATAATTATCCCTTGTGTTTGAAAAGTCCACACAGTCAAGCAGAACATGCTTGACCATGATTCTCTCATCAGAAGGGACACAAAATGGAGAATCCTTACCTTTCAATAAGGTGACGTTATAAGAAAAATGGAAACCGAATGTGTGCGTGTGCATGCGTGCGCGCGTGTGTAGAAGGGCATATGACCAGTGAGATGAAATAGAGTGACAGTAATGTGTAGCTATGATTACTCTGTCAAGAAATTGTTTACATATGTATATTTCATACCTGACTGTGGACGATTATACTCACCACATCACAAGCCATACCATTCGGATGGTTATATCGTTTAGAGTAACGAAGAACTGCAAAACGACCTTTCCCTTGTCTCCAAGTCGACCGAGGATAACTCCAAAAATTACGGAGTAACATAATATACCTGGAGGCAAAGTGGTATGTGGTATACATATTGCCGAAAGGGAAACAAGAGAATCAAATGCTGGTATGTGGCATGGGACTTTTTCTCCCTTGTATTAGTAGTCTTTAGAAAAAAAGGTTACCAATGACCATCTGACCAGGATTCTATTAGATATACTCAACGTTATTATGAAAGGGTCGCTTTATGTATGCTGGTTGTCTGAAACATGAACATATGTCAAGAAGCCTGAATAGGTCTGAGCATGTGCACAGTGTGGTAAAACAGTTGAAGAACATGGTGTTATGCCTATGTACCATCCAAAGACTGTTATTAAAGGAACTGGGAAAATGTGGACAAGGTTTTATAAAAAACCCAATGAAAAGTGCAAGCATAACGTTGATAGAAAGAGCTACCCAAAACCCACACCTGAACACACACAGCAGTTCCTGTGTAATGCATAAAAAGTAACAGTCAGTGTCGATATCAATTGTTAATTGCATTCTTGGAAGTTGAAAAACGACCTTTTTCAAAATACCTTTATCTCCTAGTATTATCTGCATAACCCCCTATACATGTACATGTTCGTACCAAGACGTTTAAATGGAAAGATTCGAGAGGTGAAACTCAGTATAACGTCGGTTATAATACGGTTATTAAACGCACATAATAATACCCTTGGTAACATATGATGATGTTGCTGTGTACGTTCACATGATGTCGCATTATTTTGTTTACTTGGCTTGTGTATTACCAAATCCCAACAGGCACCTCCAGCAAATACAAAATGCCTATGACCTATTGGTAATACAACTGGATGATGATGTTGCTATGTAAGTTCACATCACGTCCCCTTATTGTACCAACAGGCATTTGAACACTTCTATTCCTCACACATCAAAAGAATGGCTACAAAGGTCTTTGATAGACAGAGACAATGGCCAAATGCTTTAGTTCATGAAGCATTAGATCTTGCTGCTACGTCGTTCACCCAATAAAACCTCCTTTCCTTTCTATTATAATAATTATTAACGAAGGACTGGGTGTTGCCTTACCTAAGGCGTTTGTTCCTGGCCGGTAAACGGACGTTGCTGTCCATGGTCCATCTGGTTTTGGATCTGTATCATTGCTGGACCGATTTCCATTGACAAAATCATTTTGGATGACATTGTTCCTGTGAGATTGTTTGTCCATCTTCTTCACGTACATGGTACCACTCATTTCGAATGTTGCTTGTACTATGTTGTCGGGGAAGATATTCCTTGAAAAGAAAGGGCGGGTGTCGTGTTTTTGATCGCAGCGCCTTTAATTAGTTACTGATTCCGGGGGGCTTCCGGTTTCGAATAGGGTCCCTGTCAATTTATGAGTGTCGTGAGATCATTGGGCCTGGGTCGTTCCAATTACTGAATATCCAGCCTCAAAGCGATTTTTTACAGGCCGACGTAATTTTGTTCGACATGAAATAAATAAATATCTTTCTCAGCAATAGCTCGGTGTCAAAGAAATATGCATATTTGTTCCTCGTAAAAAGATCAATTCCACTGACTGACTGTCTGACTGACTGAGTTTAGTTTTACGCCGCTTTTAGCAATATTCCAGCAACATCACGGCGGGGGACACCAGAAATGGGCTTCACACATTGTGCCCATGTGGGGAAAGATCAATTCCACAAGTGTTGGATATGTCATTTGAGAGGAAATATTCTACACAACTTGATGCTGCTTTACAGACCAGGCAATGATGTTGTAATTAGTGAGTGAGTGAGTGACTCGGTTTCAGTAGCATTTTAGTTGAATAGCTGCGTGTCAGCCTCATTTACAAGAACCTCCAGAGAAACATGTTTATCACTTTCTGAAACCGGCTATTGTACCCACAAATGCAGCACATTATAAGGCCAAAATGGGATTTGAAAGTACGATCAGAGGATCCTGCCATGACTGAGGGACGCAACTCTTCACAACATATATTCTGCCAACTGTACAATGGCAGTGAACAAAATATGGGCTATAGCAGACACATTTCTGAATTGCACCAGACCTTGGGATCTCCTGATGACTCTTAGCTGACATTGTTACAGGTGCCAGCATTTCATTAAATACTATACTAACAGCTGCAGAAGTAGTAGTAGTAGTAGTAGTAGTAGTAGTAGTAGTAGTTTGCCAACCTTACTAAATCCAGGAACACATCTTTAGCAGATTGTGATGGTGTATCGTCCACAGACTTGACTGCGATGACGTGATTGTTGATCACATGACCTGGCCTGATCGCGATGGCGAGGATGATGCCGACGAGGATGGCAATGATGGTGGTGAAGATGTAGTAGCCGATGGTGATCAGGCCGATCTTGCCTGCAGACTTTCCATTAAGGTTTGCTAGCCCTGTCAAAAGTAATGCTTAAAAGGTCGTTGGTTGTGAGGAATAAGAACTAACCATATGGGAACTGTGATTGTAACATTTCTAAATGGAAGCCTCAAAAAACTATTTTATGATGAAAGGGTCTACAGGATTTTCATGCAATAATATATAAGTTTCATTGTTTTTTGACAGTTCAAGTCTCTGAACCTTAACTTTGAATGGAGTTACTATATTCATGACCGTGGCTAATTCAGAATTTGATTCAGAAAGCATTAAAGTATATGGCAATCAAAAACTTCCTTCGGTATGTTGTTCCGAGTAGATATTCATTATTAATCATGACACACAATAAATGTCAGACTCAGAACACTTAACATGTACCACCAACCAGACTAAAAAGCAGCCATTTTCTACTACATCATCAACTGTTCTGACCACAACATCAGGTGGGACAATGTAGAAATAATAAATAAACTCCAGGAGTGCACAAAAATACAACTGGCAAAAGTAGAGCAAATCCACTGACACAAACCCTCAAGCAACAGAAACCAAGGATATCTCATCCAATCTGCCTACAATGAACTCATAAAGCAGAGCAGAGCACTCCAGCGATCACGTCACTATTTTGTTCCGCCTGTTACTGCATCATTTACCAATATCCATTTTTTGTTGTTAATCATTTTCATGCATACAACCATGATGTTTTTGTTAATCCCTGTTAGTCTATAAGTCTCTTGCTTGACAGCAGTATACATGTATAGACTGTTTCCATAAAGTAAACTACTTTTCTTTTTACTCATTAGCTTCTAAAATGCCAGTCAAAAAGATGATTCATATATAATATCCTTTTCACTGATTTTGTGCTTTAATCACCAAATGAAATCAGCAAGACTGGTTAATCTCAGGCATTGGTGATTTATATTTACTGGGTTAAAGAGCGGTTATATTGGGAAGTCACATCCCTTTTTTAGTGAACATGATGTTACTCTATTTACAGTGACACAAACTACAAGAAACTGATGCATGATCCGAAAAGACATATTCTATTGAAAATTAAAAACATTTGAGAATTAGAATGCCTCTTTAGGTGGGAGAGTGAGTGAGTGAGTATGGTTTTTCGCTGATTTTAGCAGTATTCCAGCAATATCATGGCAAGAGACATCAGAAATGGGCTTCACACATTGGACCAATGTGGGGAATTGAACCGGGGGTTTCGGCATGACAAGAGGACTCTTTAACCACTTGGCTACCCCACCGCCCAGGTGGATGACGTGGAGGTGTTGGAGATGTAAAAAGTAAAAGAAATATTCAATTACCAGTAACAAGGCTTGTCACCATCAGGGGCAGAATAAGCATCTTCAACATTCTGAAAAATATCTCCCCAGGAAAAGAGATGAGGCTGACCGCATCAGGAGAGGGGTTCAGAGGACGACACAGCAGTCCAATTGTAACACCCAGAGTAACTGAAGTGAGGTTTGCTATCAGCAATACATTCCTTCGAAGACATGCCAGTATCTGGAACATATGACTTTTATTAATTCAACGTGTTTAGCTACAATTAAAATTGTCCTTTGGGCCTTGCAATGCAAATGTCTGGCAAACAGGTTTGTTTTCATTTTCCCACCGTAACTGTTAAATATTTTCAGTAATGCCAAAAACATCAAAGTAAAATAACAAAAAAGGGAATTTTAATATATTCGAACGAGTAATCGTTTGATAACAGAATTATCAATTTCATAATTTCTACTTGTGTTTATATATTGACTTAACTTAACATTCAGGAAAACAATTCGGGAAACAAGCAATTGCAAACAGACAATTTTACTTTAAAGATACGTCTTCTCAGTGATATTACGAGTGTGGCTAACTATCGCATGTGTCACTTAATTTTTGCTATGAAGAAAGTATGTATACAAACCTTGGACATGACTGCGTACGAGGCTGTGTTTGTCTGTCACCTACAATCATTAATGGAATATAAAAGTGCACATATCTGCAAGATGCAATATATATATATATATATATATATATATATATATATATATATATATATATATATATATATATATATATATATATATATATTAATACTGTACTGTATAACTATGATATTGCGTATGTATAACTGTATAATATTGCGTATATCATTTTTGGTTGAGAAGAGTTTTGTCCCTATTGATTAACGTATCTACATGTTGAACATATTGTTTGCAAAGCCTAAGTACGGTTGTGTGGGCATTGCACATGTGATGTGGAGATGAGCTTTCAAACCAATCGACGATGTATGACGAGACACGATCGAGACAATTGTCAACACAATTACAGTTTTTACATGTCTTGGTATGCATATTTTTAATTAGCTCTGGCGTGTCAAATTATAGACCAGAGTTTGATTCGGTGTTCACTTATTAAACGCAGCTAAGATAACTAGACCCAGATCACATTTTGAATGAAAGTAAACTGATGTGCAAAAGAAAGTACACAGGATGTGTTTCTTCCAATAAGATAAAAATAACAAAACCTTTGATGAAATGGAAAATGTTTGTTGAAGCACACTGCAATACACGTGTTTTATCAGGAAAATGACATTGTAACAATAAACAGCGATGTAGTGATGACCACTGCAGACGGTTCCTACGATGCTGGAAGGTCAAGGCCATTCCACGCAGCGGTCGGCAGGCCCATACATGCCAGCAGGACGAAGTCGTCTTGTCACTGTGAATCGGCTTACGCGATGACCCAATGATGTGGCTGCTGATGACATCACCGTCAACATCCAGTTGCGTAGGTGAATAACCCGCAGATAGCGATCCTCTTGGGGTGTTGTGACTCTGGAACGTCCACCTCTGGGTCGAACACATGTTTGGCCTGTCGTACTGAAACGGTTAAACAGCCGAATTATGGTTTGTCTTGTGCAACCCAATGTCCTTGCAATATCGCTGTTGAAAGCACCCATTTGTGTCATTCCTTTGGCCGTTCTCGTTGCGCCGACGTCAATCTTGGCATTTCCTCGTGAGATTTCTGTCAAGTGATTGTTCAGTCTTCACGACAAACAGGTTTTATACTCACTGTCAGAAAAGTGCTGGTGCATGGGACAATAATCACAATTTTGCAAAAATTCGTGCAAAACACGTACAAATGTTTTTGGTTGCATTTTGGCAAATGAAACATGATGGTTGCGTTCTATACAATCAATGTTTTTCAATAATTTTATTAGTTAGAACGCATATTTGGGATTGCAACAACAATTACACCTGTGTACTTTCTTTTGCTCGTCAGTTTATAATACACTGCATAACTGAAGAATCAAGCGTATATATTTTCAGTGAGGTTTACTTCATTATTAAAAACAAAACACCGAAACAATTACAGGGTCTGAAAAAATCAAAGCTACTGTCTATTTGGTGTAAAACTCCGCCATATCAATTTTCCTTTTAAGTTCCTTTTAATTTAAGTTTTTCCTCTAAAAGACGCCACGCCATACTTAACACCTCCGTGTTATGTCCTAAAATCCACATCGTGTTTATCGGAGTCAATATGGTATTAGGAATTGTTTTTGCATACAAAGGTTTCTTTTCAGTGAATTTGCATCTAACTAACATGCCCTGTCTGTTGTTTTGTGACGATAAATGTCCCGTACCGCTGTCAATCGCTCTTCAATGTAACTTCGCAAGGACTAAAAACCTTTTGGCTGCTCTGTACTCCAGCTTATCCATTTCTGCCGTTTCAGTAGGGTTCATGTGATAAGATGTCACGTGACCGGAAGCTAGTGACATGTGCATGTCAATATTACGTTTACGTGAAAGATATAAACCATTCTTCAATATCATGCTGTTATTGTTATCATGCACATATCAGAAGTATTTTAGGCTCAAAACGTTTTGATAGCCCCTCGTATGTTCTCTCAAAAACCATAAATGGGCCAATAAAATGGTTTGTACTCATTGGCCTTTACATGGTCTATTAGCAGCCTTCCATTGTGAAGTCATGCTTGACGATATCGTTATTGATTTCTTACAAATTGCCAGCGGTGTTGTTTTGAAGTAATAGTGTTCTTGGTTCAGAGTAAGTGAGTGAGTGAGTGAGTGAGACCAGTGTCATACATAAGGGCATATGTTTATGGTTTAGAAATGAGTTAGATATCTTTTTTTATTATCTTTTTACGGGCAATCAATGATGATTGTATTATGTACGTAGTTTACTTGTCTAAAAGCTACGGAAGCGTAGTAGGGCCACGGTGAAAAACATTTTTGGGGTCACTATCTCCTACGTAGGATTTACTATCTCCTACGTAGGACTTACTATCTCCTACGTAGGACTTACTATCTCCTACGTAGGACTTAGTATCTCCTACGTAGGACTTACTATCTCCTACGTAGGACTTAGTATCTCCTACGTAGGACTTACTATCTCCTACGTAGGACATAGTATCTCCTACGTAGGACTTAGTATCTCCTACGTAGGAGTTAGTATCTCCTACGTAGGACTTAATATCTCCTACGTAGGACTTAATATATCCTTTTTAAGGATGGTTATTAAGTTGAGAAATGTTTGGCTATGCAGGACGTTAGATAGTCGAAATGTGAGTCAGTGAATATTCACGACACTAACGCAGTGTTACTGTACAGTCTGTATTACGTTAGGGTGACGTGGACCCTGCTCTAATTGCAGTTATGGAGGTTTGGGTATGGTTATGTTTAATCTATCATACATAAAAGTATTCACACATACAAGTATTCACACATACAAACACACACACACACACACACACGCACAGAGCAGGGTGGGATGGTTGGGGTGAGGTTGTGATATGAAACTCGGGTTATAACACGACCTCCGCAAGTTGTTGCTTGTCTTGATGGGGCTAAGTTGGATCGAATGCAACGCTCGTTTGCGGTTTTATTCGTAATTGTTTACAGGTTGACTTGACTTGGGTGAACAAGTGTTGAGTGCGGCGTAAAACAATACGAAATTAAAAAAGGCAAAGAATTGTCATTATAGTTATTTGTATAAATGTAAGGGGATACGTACACATAGATTGCCACCTATAGTCTAAGACACGTCTGTACACGCAGATTATGATTCATGTACAACGACCTCTGAAATATCCAATGCATAATAGTAAAGTGTAACAAAGTGCAACATATAACAGTGAACTAACTGCAACGCGTAATAGTAGAGCAAACTGAACGCAAGGCAGTAAAGTATAACAGTCGGTCCAACACAGTACTAATGTGCAACAATTAGTTGAACACATGACTCTAATAGTGAAGGAAACAGTAGACTCTAATAGTAAATTGAAACACATGATAGTAGACTCTAACAGTAAATGAAACACATAACTGTAGACTCTAATAGTGAATGAAACTATTAAGTGAATTGATATTAAGTCCTACGTAGGAGATATTAAGCCCTACGTAGGAGATACTAAGTCCTACGTAGGAGATACTAAGTCCTACGTAGGAGATACTAAGTCCTACCTAGGAGATACTAAGTCCTACGTAGGAGATACTAACTCCTACGTAGGAGATACTAAGTCCTACGTAGGAGATATTAAGTCCTATGTAGGAGATACTAAGTCCTACGTAGGAGATACTATGTCCTACTAAGTACGGAGATACTAAGTCCTACCTACGTAGGAGATACTACGTAGGAGATACTAAGTCCTACGTAGGAGATACTATGTCCTACGTAGGAGATACTAAGTCCTACGTAGGAGATACTAACTCCTACGTAGGAGATACGTCCTTAAGTCCTACGTAGGAGATACTAAGTCCTACGTAGGTGATACTAAGTCCTACGTAGGAGATACTAAGTCCTACGTAGGAGATATTAAGTACTACGTAGGAGATAGTAAGACCAAAAAGATTTTTCACCGTGGCCCTACTACGCTTCCGTAAAAGCTGAGCAACATGTATTATGAAATAATTTCTCCCATTTACCTTGGAGAAATTTACCTTTACAAGTTCACCTTGATTTTGTCACATAATTCCCGTGAAGGTCCGGGTTAGAATGAGCCTTCAGTAACCCATGCTTGTTGTAAGAGGCGACTAACGGGATCGGGTTGTCAGGCTTGCTGGCTTGGTTGACACATGTCATCAGTTCCCAATTGCGCAGATCGATGCTCATGTTGTTGATCAGTGGATTGTCTGGTCCAGACTCCATTTTTTACAGACCGCCGCCATAAAGCTGGAATATTGCTGAGTGCGGCGTAAAACTAGACTCACTCACTCTTGTCACATAAACATTACAAATATTAACGGTTTTTTCAACATTACGCAAGTACTACGATCGGGAGTAAAACGAGCATTCTTCTTAAAAACAAATATGTTTTCATTCACCAACAGTAAATATTCCTTAATTATGTTCATAGAAACAAAACTTGAAAATAACATATACACGTGTTTTTCAAGCGTCAATTCTCAAGTAATTTGTTACATGATGATAAATGAGTGAGTGAGTATGGTTTTACGCCGCTGTTAGTAATATTCCTGCAATATC